CAATTGCAATAAGAGCCAAGATTTTTCCAAGGCGTTGTCCGACAAATCTGCTCCATGCATCAGAGTTGACACTTTCTGTTGACTGCTGAATTTCGCAATTGCCTTTTTGGCGAGTGGCAACTGCAATTGCACAACATAAACCAAATGGAATGGCAACAAACTGAAAAGGATAATGAATAAGCGAGGAAGAAAGAACTGCGTACAAAGCTGCAGGACTTATATTACATTTAGTTATTGCCAAGATTTGCTAAATCTATTTCTGATTGCAATTTTAAAAAGATGAAACAGAATGAGAAGTGCAGTTTGGTGCATATCTGCATAAATTGCAAAACTGCTAACCCAAAATCGGAAATTAAAGAACACAACTTTAGTTCGCTTGGAAAAGTTATGCCATCCAGAATAAAAATGCAAAATAGCAGCAGAGCTAATAAGCGTATTGCTGCAATGGCACAAATAGCAGTATTTTGAAAAGGAAATCAGTTTCATGGCAAAACACCATGATAAAGGAGATAAAAGCCCTCTGCGAATACCCTGAGGACAAACTGCCTTAACCCCTGAGCGCCCCTCTGGGGTCGATTCGCCCCGTTGTCAGCCCTTAACACGTTGACATCTCACGGGGCTGCTGCTCAGTTGCGTTTTCTCGCTGTCAAGCTGCCTCCTGTTATTTGTTGCAATTTAAGTGACTTGGAATTGCAATTTATTGTTGCCGGTCTGAAGGGGAAAATCAGCCAGCATGCCCCCCATTTTCCGCTTTTCACCCTATTTTCTTTTTGTTTGTTTGTTTGTTTTTTTTTTTGGGCTGGAAATAAACAAGCTGGGCGAAAAGAAAAACCGGGAGCAGCCAGAGAAATATGAGAATTTAGTGTAATGTTGTTTTTATTGCAACTTCATGTGCGGAATGCGTAGCAGGGCATTAAGCTGGTGTTGCATACACTTAGCCACCCACTAAGGGTTATGGCTTGTGGGAGGGCGGAAAAGCCAAGTAAACTTTCCCCAAGGAGGATCAAGTGACGATTTCCGTCTTGTGTTGCAAGAGATTGTTGGACTCCCGCTGCGATTATTTTATTTAATAGTGTTAAATTGGGAAACTAGCGCTGTCTATCTGTTTGTTATGTTGCCAGTAATAAAGTCAATTCAAATAGCCCAACGTGAGAAATCACATCTATTATGGCCGCAAAAAAAGTTATATGCCTTGGACATTCGAATTTGATTGTCCTTTGACCCGAGTCCTTTGTCCCTATTTTCTCTGCGCCCGAAAGCGATATTGTAAATTTCTTTATATTTGTCAAGCCAATTGAAAAGTTTGCGGCAACTTTGTGTTGATTTAACACCCCCCAGCACACACATAAGACAACAAAGTCGCAAGGCTGTCTTTCCATCAATGAAGAGAAGGGAAAGTTCGCTGGGCAGGACATAAATAAGGAATTGTATGGTAAATGGGCGGCCAGGAAGGCAACGTGGAAATAATGCCCAAACAAGATGGGGAATTATTTGAAAAGAAAGCGATGTGAAACAATGAGGTGGCTGGGGCCGGATCAAAATTGGTGGGCCAAATCCTGGTGGGCGGTTGGGTGGGTTTATTTTGGTTGGTGGTGCCAAGTGACCACACAGTGATTTACGCTCATGAAATTGAGTTGTGGCGCAAATTATTTATGAACAAAGCGCACACACAGGAATAACAAACAATGACAAACGGGAACGAGGTTTGTAATGCCCTGGGTCCAGGACAATATGCAGTTTGTGGAATCGGTATCGAAGTCCTTCCCCAGAGGAATGTCCCTTCTGCGGACAGCGTTGAGCAGTAGACTCTTCGGGACTCCGGGACTCGGGACTCCAGGACACAAGGACGCAGGGACGCAGGGACGCAGGGACAAGAGGACACCAGGACAGCCGGACTACGGCCAAAGTTTTTGCGCCCCGAAAATAATTTATTAGCGGCAAACGAGCAAAAGTTTTATGAAAATTCAAAAAACACAAGAACGAACACAAGCCGAGAGGAAAACAGGAATAAAAAAAATGAAAACACAATCGAAACAAAGGCCAAACAAGTGCTAGTTGAAGTTGAGGTGGAAGAAGTTGATGAAGTAGCTCCGGCACCCTCGGCCAACATTTCATTGTCAGTTGAGTTTTGCGGAATCGTGCGCTTTGTTTAATATTTTCAGACTCTGTCAAAAAGTTCGGAGCTCTAGGTATTTCGAGTGGGCAAATTTATTTACTATCATGTCGGCCAATGAGCCGGGAAAATGTTGGATATATTAACGATCTAGAACGGTATACATCATCTGCTTAGAACTTGCTGTTAGCTGGAAAACATTTGGAATAGTCGCGCCAAGCTTATTTGCATATTTCAACAAAACTTCCACTGCATTACTGCGAATTTTTCTTCTAAAATTCTTATCATGCAACTGTATAAAATCGTAACTAATATACTAATTTAAATGTGTACGGATATACATATATAAATATGATTCAGTGTGAGAGTATTTGCTGGTCGCCGTGCCCACAGGCTTATAAAGTTTTTCTTGTTATTTATTGAATTTGGCACACAATTGCACAGGAGCTTATTTGCCCCTGTCTTTATCCTGAAAGTCCGCCTCGCATTCAATTGCTTTGGCAGAAATTTATGAAATTTATTCTGGGCGTTCGGTGTCAAAGTTTTCCCATACTCGTATTTCTTAAGATACACAAGAAGTAGATTGCGGGGGAGGCACACCGGGCGAGCTGCCAATGACAGTCGCATTACGCATACGCCCCGTTTTCTACCAGTTATTACGTATACGCAGTGCGGGCTATTCGATATCATTAGCATTGGAAATGCATATGGAATCCAGCTCGTTTTCAGTGTGTGTGTGCTTATTTTTAGAGAAAACAACTTCCGTTGCTTGGCAGCACCCCCATCCCACCCTTTTCGATCGCTTTGTATGCAAATGAGCAGAACGTACATTTCTCATGATAATATGCCATTAATGAGCAGCATTATTTCCCCATCAGCCGCACACCCAATGTGCTTCCTACTGGGTATGCGTTTGCGTGTATTGTACACCGATTAATTAAACAACGCTTAATGCGAAATATATAAATTAATTGGAATAATTGAAACCCGTTTGCAATCATCCCAGCAGAGCAGCAATGTGCGTATTATTCAGCAAATATCTCCAACTATTAAATAATCGACATTTATTGTATCCTAGCCTGAGGAGTCTTTGTGATTGAATTTGAGATAGCTCGTTCTACTGCTTCTTAAGCGGCCGGATGAGCATGCGGACGTAGCTGAGCGAACCAGTGGGTCCTGGCAGGAAGGTCTTCCACAGGATGCCCTTGAAATAGCCAATCTCCTGGCCGTACTTCGACTGGAATGTGCCAAACAAGTTGCTGCAACGAATTGAAGGCTTGGACTTAGAACGGTTACCTAATATGCATTCCATGCACTCTACTTGCCTCTCGAAGCAGTCCCTTCCATACCACCAGGCTCCTGCGTGTGTCCTGGCACAGTTCTGCCCATTGTCGTCGTTATCCTGATCGAAAGTGGTGAACTTCTTGCCCGCATGATAACGCAGCGAGTCCCCAGCATCTCCTTTGTAGGCGCCGAGTACATATAGCAGATACTTTTCCGATTCACTGCCAATACTAAAGTGATCGTACAGCGCGAAACGCTCCTCTCCACTTTTCTTCTTCATTATAATGAGCAGCTCGTGGTGCTCGCTGTTGGTCAAGCTATGCAGCTTGTCCAATCCGATGAAGAACTCCGCGTTCAGAGCCCCAAAACCGGACTTATAGTTCTGCCAATCCTTATTGAAATCCTCGCTGCCATCGAACCTATAGGCGATCACCAGCCAGCCGCCGTCTCTCACTTTCTGGTCGCAGCTGACGAAGAAGGGTTCCGCATCTGGCGCAATCCGGATCCTCACCTGGCCGTGCTTCTCGTCGTGGCAGTTCCGGGGCGTGTCGTCGGTGGGCGTGGCCTGCGCCAGCGGAAAGGTCTGCACACTTGCCGGCAATGGGCGTAGTCTAAAAATGATGTAGTAGATGTTATGATCTTATACATATAATGATTGTTCTACCCTTACTAACTTACAGTCTGGTTGCAATGGGTATTCCGGTGCCCTGATTTTTGTACTCCTCAATGAGCCCCTGTAGCTCGTTTAGCTCTGCTTTAAGAGTTTGCAGCTCATCTGTCATGAATTGTACACTGGCAAATGCAGAATTATTATTTATAAAATGTGCCAGGGCCTTTAAAAGGACTCACCGTGCTGCTAAACCAGCCAAAGTACTTACTGGACAACTGGCAGTACCCTGAAAAAAGTTAAAGGGACATGCTTAAATGAATGAAGTCATAATGCAGCGGCCATACCCACATTTTCAGCCAGCAAAAAGGGCTCCGCCGAGTTTCGCATTATCACGGAAAAGTGTTTTCCTGGCAAGTTACTCGTGGCATTCGTGGTGGTGCTGAGGCAAGCCAAAGCCGTGACGAGCGCCTCCAGCGCCATCGCGATTTAATTGTATATATTTAGGCCGACGTACGTGCTCCGATTCCAGGCTAAAAACGATGCCAGCGAATGCAACGCAGTTGCAACTGCTCGACTGGGCAACTGACTAAGCAAGTTGGCTCACCAGCTCACTGGATTAGTTACTAGTCGGTGGCTGATTGGAGATGCCACAAAAGTCACGCCGGCTTGGGCGATCGCAGTGATCAGAATATCACGGATAAATCACATAGGGCTCAATGCCAATAAATGAATAGTTTAAAACAATATTTAATAGCTCAAATATTGTTGCAATAAAGCGAACAAATCTTAATTATAATTTTAACATTTTTCGTGTCACTTTCTGTAATGTCAACACAAAACATCAGATCTTAATAAAAACTGCAAGTAAAAACGATCAAGCACAGTCTTATATTTTTTCTCCGTGTACCTGTTAGTGTTGTGAACTTGCAATCACTGGATGAGAAAGCGCTGCCCAACACTTACGAATCTGCTTAGCATACTCGTTGTTCAATGCGATGCACGCAACGCATACAGCTAATCAATCGAGTGACCTTTGTCTCAATTCACACTTGCATTGCGCCTCAGATCAGTAGTTGATGTTCAGCTAGTTAGTTAGTCAGCCAGTTAGCTAGTTGGCCAGTGATCGAAAGGGGCAAAATGTCGCAGATGCTGCAGCTGGATGCCTTGGTCATGGCCATGGCCTGTCTATCCACCACACAGACGGATCTAGGCGGAGGACTGATGGTTCCGCCCTCCTTGGAAAATGCGGTAAGTGCATATGCTACAGTTCAAAGTCTGTGATTGTAGAACAACAACTAAGCCAGTTCGTCGTACTACAAGCCGTTCGTACAGTAAGTCTGGAAATGCTTTTTCTTTAGAGTTCCAGCAGCTGTCCTGTTTCGGCCTTAAGTGCTCTTACCACTCGGCTGCAATCACTCAACAAGGAAATCGATAGTGTAAAGGAGCAGATAGGCAGTCTCCAGGAGCAGTTGGTGGATCTGCGAAGAGCGGAAAGCGCAAACGTGGTGGGACTGGCTTCACCCAATGCGCTGGCATCTCGATTGTATGTACCTATTTGCCGGATGCCCGTGTTATTCCTGTGTAACAGTTCTCAGTTCCTTCCAACTCGACAGCCTGGACATTGAGCCACAACTCCTGGCCAACGGTGCTGCACTGGCCATTCCAACCACACCGGAAAACTGCCTGAAACAGCAGCACGGCGTTGTGCGAATCCGACCCCGCTCGAATGAGGCACCCTTCTTTGTTTTCTGCGATCAGAAGGTCAGGAACGGCGGTTGGACCATGGTGGTCAATCGCTATGATGGCAGCGAGGACTTCAATCGCAAGTGGGCGGACTACCAGATAGGCTTCGGGCCACTAACCACCGAGTTCTTCATCGGATTGGATAAGCTGCATCAGATAACCAGCAGTGACAACTACGAGCTGTTGGTTCAGCTGCAGAATCGCAAACAGGAGCTGAGGTATGCGCTTTATGATCACTTCAGCATCGGCAGTGAGTCGGAGCAGTATCGTCTCAATGTTCTGGGGAATTACCAGGGCGATGCTGCTGATGCACTGCGTCAGCACACGGGAAAAAAATTCAGTACCCACGATCGGGACAATGACGAAAGTGAGCAGAACTGCGCGGCTCAGCAGTCGGGTGCTTTTTGGTATGGCGCCTCGTGCAATCTTAGGTGGGTACTTTATCATTATCCAACATATAACCTTATGTTTAAATATATAATATATGTTTTCTTTTATAGCAACCCCTTTGGCCTATATCAACGGCTTCTCGAGCGGGATGTTGATGGCTTTAAGGGCATTCTGTGGCGCGGTTTCTTAGATGGACCCAAAGGTTCTCTGAAATTAGTTCGCATGATGATTCGACCGCGCGCCATTTCATAAATAAGTAACTTTATTGGCTACACCAGCCACATATAATCAAACACCCAATAGGTTAATAACAAAAAAAACAAAACTAATGCAAAATGAATTACAAAATAAATTCTTTTAGACTTCGTTGAGCTTGTCAATCTCTTGGGTGGTTGTGGTGGTGCGAACAGTGGTGGTTGTGGTGGGATCCTCAGATCCTTTGACCACCAGGGCATCTCCGAAAACTGGCTTGAAGAAGAGCACAAAGCGGGAGTAGCGACGAGCGGAGTTCTGCGGTGGATTATACGTAAAACAAAAATATATTATAGCCATTTTTTTAATAATACGTAATAATAAAACAATAATAGTCATGGCTTATGGCCAGCTTACCAAAATCAGACGAGATAACGACTTTGAGATATTGGTGACCGTCACCAGCGATTTGTTCAATAGTTCCGAGGGAAGTTCCAGGGAGGCATCGCCCATGATTTCGGCGGCATCGCTCAGATCTTTTCCCCCCGCCCGACGACGTCTCTTGGTCTGACAAATATATAGAGAAACAAATAGGTAAATATATGGATGAACCATGTGAGTGCGCAGTGCGATCCAAAATCAGTTCCCAAAATCCAAAAACTCGACAAGGCCAAGGCCCCAAATTGAAACTAGGTGCGTATTATATTGGTTTTTCTTCTGTTTTCGGTTTTATTCGTTTTTTGTAGTGTCGTGAATTTCTCTATATATGTATATTTGTTTATGCCGAATATTTACAAACATGAAACTTAACTAGGGTGTAAACAAAAAAATAAAAACGATTCGAGCGAGGGGGTTGGAAATTCAACAAAGATTCTGATGGATGTGGGAAAAACGAATAAGGGACTCAACGATAAATTACAGCTCTCATTAGTTGGCCTTGGATCGTTGCTATTACACCATCTAGTAGCCCGCCTCATCGGAGTCGGGTGCTGGTGTCGTCACGCCGGCGATTCCATTCACTCCGCCAGTGGATCCCTGCAGGATGGGTCCCGAGAAGCCGAGGAACTTGGACACCACGTTGCCCAATCCGGCGTTCGCATTCCCGCCGCCCGAGGAGGAGCCACTGAAGGCGGTAATCGTGGTCAGCACACCTGTGGTCAGGTCATTGGCAATGTTGCCCAGCGAGCGGATCTTCGGCGACACCACGGCGGTGATCAGAGTCTGGAAATCCTTGATGGGCACCGGCGACTTGATGTCCCACTGCTTGTTCTTCTCGATATTCGATCGGTCCAGCTGCTCGATCACCCGCGTCTTTGTGTCCAGGAAATTGTCGATTTTCTACATATATTTTGTTGTATAATTTTCATATATTTTCTTGTTTATCATTTCAGGCTTATGAAATACTCACGCCAAACACAAAACCGAGCACAGCGTTTTTAGCCTCGAATGTGGCATCGGGCAGTTTTCTTTTGTTGCGCTCCTGGACACCTAATACCTCCTGGAAATGGAAATTGAAGTGGAAAATACAGGATCACCCACACGGAAAGAGTTAGAGGAGTGCTTGAGTAAAGGCTTGATATACTTGAGTATCTACCAAGGAAATTACAAGATTTTTGACTGTTTTTTTGAGTCACACAATTAAACTTCTCTACTACGATCCCTAAGCGAATATATTAATTTTTTCCACTCAATTCATACCAAGCCTAATTGCCGATCTGGCATTTTCGGACTTGTCTGGCTTTAATCGATTGGATTCTTTGACTAATTACACATCTTGAGTGCCGCCAGCACTGACTTCAAGTTTAATTGCTGCCAAAGAGCGGGTAAAAAAGCACTTGAAACTGGGGGCCAGTTAGACTTGACCCAATTTTCTGGGCTGGTCGAAGAGGAAAAAAAACACTCATGTACTATACACACATGAGTAATTATATCACTTGTGGACTTGGGGACCTTCGGTCATTCTAAGCCGATGTCTATCGCTATATCTGATACTTTCGGACTGCTTCTCGATCGATCCAAGCTGGTCCAAGGCACTTAAAATTCACCTCGTCATTCGGTCATATACTCGTATGTATGCACCTCAATATCGAAGTCGAAATCAACTCATTTCCAACCAAAACGCATAATCCAACCATCGGAATTGAATTTCGAGCCGAACTCGAACGATCTGGGATCATAGTACATTGCACTACACCACCTTTTCATTTTGTATGATGACGTCTTCTGGCCCTCTAATAAAGTTATGAAATACGTTGGCTGTGATTTGAATATTTAAAATGCACGAAAGAGCTTAAATAAATTCTAAAAAATTCACGGATATTAAATGTCGCCAAAAATCATGCTGCAAAACGACAAGCTAACGTCAGTTAATCGGCTTGAAAAGGTTTAACAATAATTCGCCTACAGCCCACAGATTGATCATAAGTAATATCTTGAAAATTATGCAATTCACTTGGCGTTTTTGGTTTATTGTTCTGCCATTCTCCCTCTTGAACGTTTTTTGAGACTGCCCGACAGAAAATCGCTTCGAGCTGCCCACATGGAGCACATTTTTTTCTGTCATTTTGGTTTTCGAGAAGCTAAACAACTAGGCGATTTATTAGTTTAACAAAACGCTAAACACATTACGCTCTACACCTTTACTTTATGCCTTTTGTTTTTGGCCGCTGAAGTGACAAACAAAAAGCGTGAGCTATGATTTATATGGAGCAAAATCAGGTCAGTTGTTGAAAGCTGAACAAGCAGTTAAACGAAGGGATTTACAACAAGTTTAACTACTACTTGAACGGAAAAGTGGAAAACTGTGTGCAGAGGTAAATGCTTCATTTTTAATAATAAACAAAAAGGTCTACAATATTTTCCAACATTATTTATAACATGCATATTTATCCCTTTGCCAAAAATAATTTATCTATATGTATTTATCTATTTGATGTTTAACAAACTGATTAAAAATCTGCTATGGACATTTTCACTCCCCTCCTGCTTGCATTTTCTCAATTTCCCAAGCAATTGCCTCAAATCGAATGCTGTTCACTACGAATGGCTAAATCGATGAAGACGAAGAAATGAATATATGAACCAACTTGTGGAGGCGCGGAAATGTTTCACAATTCATGCGAATAAGAGGAAGCGAGAGAAGAAGAGGTGATGAGCCATGAAGAAGCTCCCTTGTACCCTCTCTTTCTGCCCGCATCTGTCCATCTCTTTTTGGCCAAGGCGTTGGCTTTGATTTTTCGGTTTTTTTGGGTTTTCAGTTTTCGTTTTTGGGTTTTGGAATGGTTTTGAAATGTTAACGTAGGTCGTTAACAAGTTTTGTCGCCATCAAGGTCGTCTGGTCTCGAATGGCCAACGAATTTGGAATTGAATTTTGCTTAAAACCATTTTTTTACCTGGCTCTTTGTATTTGCCTGATTTGCATACGAGCGGTTAGGCCAGAAAATTGGCCAGAAGTCGGTTCAATGCACCAAAAAATTAGCAGCTTGCATAACGGGCAAAAAACAAAACCGAAAAAAAGCGATGAAAATGTGCAACAATAGAGAGCGAGAGCGCGAAAATTTTACTTTCACGCCAGGGGACAATCAAGTTTTCTGACTGCCTCTTTTTTGAAATGCTTGCAAACTTCCTTGTTGCGTTTTTGGATTTTTCTCGAAGGGATTTTGGATGCTACTTGTCTAATCATACATTGATTTTGTTACCTCTGCATTGATGGGATTCAGGTCGGGATCGCTGGTATCCTGGAATCTCGCCTCCAGTTCGGAATTTGTTTGCTGAGGAGCGGGAAAGCCCAGCGTTACCGATAGCAATGCCGATAGCACGGCCATCGATATCAACAAATGACTCCTGGTGAACTGCATATTTAGTTTCTGCAAGCGAACAAAATATAGGTTAAATTTGCGGTGGAAAATTTCGTTGATTTTATATAAGACAGTTTGGTTTTTGTATATATTTTGTTTTGTACCGCAAAAGAAAACACAAAGCTCGGGGTGGATAAAAAAAAAATAATGTAAACTTTTGAGGCAAGTGTTTTTGTTGTCGTCTGGAAGCCGCGCCGCCAGATACGCGATACTAGCACGTTCACTAACTTTAAGCAAATGACTGCGGACGAAAGTTACTTCAATGATTTAGCAGTGGCCAAAAAATCGGTTACACAGCCCACGGCGCATGCGCAGAGCTTTTTGTTTAGCGCCGCTGCGCAGTCCACTCAAAATATCCACCGAAAAATCACAGACGAACGCAATCCGGCCAAATTGAATTTTATTGCCGCCCGATTCGTGGATTCATGGATACGTTTGGGTTTGGATTCGTTGTTGGATGCAAGACGTCGACAGCGACGTCGGCAGCGATTCGAGCGGAACGCCGGCGCAAAAAACACGTTTTTGAGCGGTTTTGAGCGCAAATTCGAATGGAAAGCGCTCAATAAAGTGCAAAACCAGCCGCTGGAGATGTTAAGTCACCGGTGCTGTTGTCTTGTTAATGGTGTTTCTGCAATGCGCTTTTAATTTGTACTCTTTGGCTTTCAATTAATGCACACACACACGCACACACATACAAAAGAGAGGCACAAGTCGGTCATACGCGGCGTATGCGCAATGTGCATTCTTAAGCACTTTTTTCGGTGGCAAGTGGTTATACAAGGGTCTGATGGAACTCTTTTTAAAAAATCCACTCTGCAACTCAAAGTACTTCCGCAAGTCCAATAAAACCGTCTGCCTTCATCTTAATGATCATTTTCAGCAAAGTTATGATCATGGGCATTTTACACATAAAAAATTTCTAAATTTGAGCTAAGAGCTATTTTCTTGAATTTTCGACATAAAAGAAACAGTTTTTTTGCCATAACTTTTAAAATAATTGTCTGAACATGGAATGTTATACCTCGTTGCACTCGTTATTAAATTTCCAATCGAACTGCGTTTAAAAATTGAAAATCTATTTTTTTGCCATTTTTTTCAAATTTTGATGATGTTACCCCTTAAAAAAAATGCAAAAATTGATCAAAAAAATAATTTTCCTAAATCCGTCAAAAAGTGACAGGGGTGGTTAGATTTGGTAATTAGCTGCTCAAAACAGTTATTCTTTCATCTTTACGATCATTTTTGGCCAAGTTATGATTAAAATGCCCATTTAAAATATTTCAATTTTTGCCAAAATCCGTTTTTTCGAATTTCGGTCATAAAATAATCAGTTTTTTGGCTATAACTTTTAAAATAATTGTCTGAACATGGAATGTTATACCTCGTTGCACTCGTTATTAAATTTCCAATCGAACTGCGTTTAAAAATTGAAAATTTATTTTTTTGCCATTTTTTTCAAATTTTGATGATGTTACCCCTTAAAAAAAATGCAAAAATTGACCGAAAAATTAATTTTCCTAAATCCGTCAAAAAGTGACAGGGGTGGTTA